CAAGCCCCCTTGGTAAGGAGGGAGACATGGACGAATGGCTACGAAGATCAGAATGGTCCCCCCTCCCCTCCCCACCCCCCAAATAGTTACACCCTCCAAGGTTTGCCCCATTATTGCTGGATGACAAAGATGATGATGATGAGAGTTTCGAACCTAGATCTGATACTGAGAGGACCATGTAGAAGACACCGCAGAAGAGCCATCAAAAGGTCGGTGGTGCAGATCTCGAAGAAACAAATTCTTTACGAGAAAGGTATGGGTGCGTCATTAACTCCTAGACCGCTAGTACCCATCAATGTCCGAAGAGAGTGCTTACTGAAGGGGTTTGGTAGGCTCAATAGACAAGTTGTTGTTGAAGCCGAGAATGTGGTTATCAGTGGTACTAGATCAAGTGGTGACGTTTAGAACTGTGGTGAACTTTGAGGAAGAGGAGTTCCTAAAACGAATGAGGAAGACATGCATGAACGAATGAGGAGGACATGCATGAACACCATCATGACCCCAATATGGACAGTGGATCAGCCCCTCAAGGAAGGAACTCCCAAGTAAAAAATAGGGTAAGATCTGTGTCGTTGATCTGGGCTCTAAAAAAAATTATACACTTCGCCTTTGAGTTGGAAGCTGAATCAACAAATCATATTGTTTGGGACAATCAATTTTCATTTTTCACAAAGAATCTCATTCCAATTTTTTACCTTCGAGTGCACATTTTTGTGCCTTCATTGCACATTGTTATGCCTTTGAGTGCACATTGTTGTGCCTTCGAGTGCACATTATTTTTCTTTCGATTGCACATTGTTGTGCCTTTGAGTGCATATCGTTGTGCTTTCAAGGATTTGAACAGAATGTAAAAACACAATTAAGTGCATATAGTTATGCCTTTCAGTGAACATTTTTGTATCTTCCAGTGCATACTTCTGGCTGACGAAACAAATCTACATAGAATATATTTATTATACTATTTTGGGAATGAAATGTGGCACAAGATGTTATAGAACCTACTAAATGTTGTGCCTTGGAGTGTACTTTTTGTGCCTTTTGTGCACATTGTTGTGCCTTCGATTGCACATTGTTGTGCCTTCGATTGCATATTGTTAATTTGTTATGCCTTTGAGTGCACATTATTGTGTCTTCGAGTGCACATTCTTATGCATTCGAGTGTATATTGTTGTGCTTTCAAGGATTTGAACAGAATGCAAAAACAAAACAAACTACCAAAATCATCGTGTTTTTTTTCCCTTCATTTTAGACGATTGATATGGATTAGAGTGACTGAGATTTAACTCTATTTTTTACTTGGGAGCTCCTCTGTTATCATTCTAAATGGATGATTATAGGATCGAACCCCGGTGATGGGGCATAGATTTTTTGGGCTGAAAAAGATTGAGAAAGTATAGAATAGATATTACCTTGCAAAGAATTATGAGTGCCGCAATCGTTGGACGAGCTCAGATCAACGATTGGAAGTCAATAAAAATGGAAAAAAATGCAGTGACATGTTGATATAATTTGAATGATATGCTGGAGAATTTGAATATTCTTGGTTATTTTGTGTGCACCACAAACTAACCCTTAGTGCACCACTTCAACGGTTATGGGTTATATCAACAGGTTCAATAGACCTGTTGGTCCAATGGTACTACTCAACTGATCTATTGAACCCATCGCATTTTTTAGCCACTTGTTGGTGCACCACAAACCATGTCTTAGTGCACCACAAACCAATGCTTAAGTGCACCACACACCACCCCTTAGTGCACCTTAGAAATATACATGATGCAAATGCCACTCCGTTTTTCTCTTTTTTTTTTTTCATGATTTTCAGCCACTTGGTGGTGCACCATATACCATCGTTTAGTGCACAACAAACCAGCACTTTGTGCACCTCAAAAATATACATAGTGCACAAAATTACAAAAATGCCATTGCATTTTTTTTTTCATTTGCATTGATTTTCATAAGGGTGGGCATTTCGTGTTTCGGTTTCGGTTTTAAAAAATTTAAACCATTCGGTTTAACAATAGAGTTCGGTTTGGTTTCGGTTTTGGTTTGAAAAAGTTTGGTTCGATTCGGTTTCGGTTCGGAGTTCGGTTCGATTTTGGTGGAAGTCCACTATTTGACCGTTTCCTTTTTTGCCTGACCGATTGTTCAGTTGGCTCACTTGGAGTGCACTTAAGTGTTTTATTGATGACAAGATGAAGAATCATCCATCTAATAGTTAATATTTGAAAAATACGAATTATTAAAACACCAAATGTTGGGACTTACGACTTAGAGTTGAAAAGTCTGAGGACTTGAGGAGTTGAAATTATTAATTATTATAATATTTATATATAATACTAGCATTCTATACATGCGATACGTGAAAATTTATGCCAACATTAAAAAATTAATAAATGTAAATAATTGCAAGTTATAATTCAAATTATATTTCGCAATTCTTTAAAGTAGTAAATTTTAATTATCGTATTTGAAAACTATAGAGATGAACAAAATTTATATTTTGTTTATTAATAATGTACACAATTTTGATATAATTTATACTTTGTTTTTACAATAAATAAATAAAATATCTATAATACTAATCTAGTTCCCGGTCACATATATTGGTGTGTGTGCGTGCCTATATATATATACACACACACATATATGATTTAACATTCATAGAAATTTAATTAAAATATAATCAACAATTAAAGTAATTATATAATGATTTTAATAAAGTGATAATTAAAGAATAGAAAAAGATATCATAGATATAGGTGTATGATAATAATAATAGAGTTATGAAAGTTAGAATTAAATAGTAACGGTGTAATGATATCTAACAAGAATATAGAAGAGACAATTTTGTCCATTATAATTGAACTGTAAAACATTTAATGAAAAGTGTATGCCTTTATTAGCATACAAATGTAAATATTAATATAAATGTGTCTATAACTTAATGGGTGAAACTTTTACTTTCTAATTGATGGTTAATTGTTCAAATCTCACCTTGTACATTTAATATATATTATGTTCTATATCTATTATTATTAAAAAAAAAAAAAACGATCAGTTTTTCGGTTCGGGTTTTAACCGAGCCGATTGGTACTTCGTTTTAGAACCAAAGCGAAACCGAAATGCCCAGCCCTAGATTTTCAACTGTTGATCTGAACTCATCCACTGCGCACACACACACACACACACACACACACACACATACACACACACACACACACACACACATACATATATATATATATATATATATATATATATATATATATATATATATATATATATATATATATATATATATATAAAATGTTTCCTCCCAAATGCTCTGTCGGGCCGGGGTGTAGGGGGCCCTTAGGGTTGGGGTTCAGCCTTGGAAGAATATATATAAAATGTCAACTTTATCTAAATAAATCTCTAAGCTTGGAAGCTCAATCAAATTACTGTAGTTACAAAGAAACAACTGTCGTAGCACTAACAATGAGGATGTTTATTGTTATCACTATGGGTGTGTTCGGCTGGTGGGTTTTGCTCATAGGAATGGGTATGTAAGTGATTGTTGTTGTTTGGTTGATAGGTTTTTAGAACACTACTATGGGTTTCGAATACCCCATCAATTGAAAAACCCATACCCAAATAAAATAAGGGTTTCATTGCCTTATTCATTTTCAAGCACTACTATTAGTAACCATTCCCATTCCACCCTACTACCAAACATGTTAAATACTTTCACCAAAACCCATTACCATTACCAAGTATTTGATACCCATTCCGATTCCGATTCCGATTCCTATGTTCGAACCAAACACACCCTATATGTTTATTGTGGCTTGCGATGGTAACTATTTGTATATTATTGTTATATTAGGTTTTATTTCTTTTTATAAATATATTAGCCTTATAAAATGTATAATGTGTAGATTTTAAATATACTCAAAACCTATTTAAAGTCTACAATAAAGTCTCTTTAATTACCTACATATTAAATAGGTCTTTGAAAATCTTTTTGGTCAAACCAACCTTATTGTAGGCTCACACTTAAGATTAAAAAAAAAAAAAACATATACATAGGTCCAGGCCTATGCTCAGCCGCTCAGGCGTCAATTTCTCATAACAAACTCAAACTTAATTTTTCAAAGCTCAGTCCGGCCTAATTTATTTCCATCCCTAGTCCTAGCTAAAGCAAGAGTGATAAAAGTAAAGATAATTAATTCAAAAAAAAAAAAAAAGAAGAAGAGTAAAACTGATAAAATACGGAGTCCTAAAGTGAATAGAAAAATATTACATTTTAACTAAAAAGTATTATCATTTCACAGTAAGATGGTCTCACACAAAATTTATTGTCGCATTGAAATGTGTATTCTTTTTTTGAAACAATATTGAAATGTGTTAAATTCAAAGGTTCGATCTAAGGCAAGACTTAGACCATCTCCAACCCAACGCCATATCACCAAATCGCCAAAAAATTTGGCGTAAAGTGGCAAAAGAAGGGCTCCAATGGGACGACAAAACACCAAATAATTTGGTGTTGATGAACAATGCCGCGCCATATAAGGCGCAACACTGTTCATCCACGCCATTTTCTGGACCACTTTTTTCTTCCTATTTTGCCCCTGTTTTGCCCTTTATCTTCTTTTATAATTCCTTTTGTATCCTTTTTTATTTTTATATATTTACATATTTTGTTAAATATTTAAACATAAATTGTATATTAGTTAAAAAAAAAATTATATCATTTGAAAGATCTCATCAAGACGATTAAAACAAGACTAATATTGAATATACTTTAATTAAAAATAAAATTACATAAAACATAATTAAAGTTAAATTTATTAAATTATAACTATATGTTATATTAAAATAATAAAAATATAAATATAAACTTTTAATTTATGAGAATATAAATTATTTTAGTGTAAGAATAAAATTTGGTGTAAATGAGTTGGAGATAAAAAAAAATTGGTGTGAATTGAGAATTTTGGGTTGAAGATGGTCTTATCGTGATATTGAAAATTTGAAATGTGTTAAATTTCAGGGATGAGTGTACGAAATGTCCCCTTTCTGAATGGAATCAATCAATTCGAAAACTTTTTACGGATAATTTTGCGCCTTTGCGTGGAACTGTGGAAGTACCAGGTTTTATCTAACTCTTTACCCCGGAATTCTCGATTCATCATTAGTAGTAGTATATGATTTCTTGATCATCCAATTCCGGATTTGGAAACAGTTGGTCTGAGCACTCGGGCGATTCCTTCATTTGCACACCACATGTTTGCTGTATTGTTTCAAAGACCTATTCCTCGCAATTTGCATAACCCTTTTGCTCCAATCCCAATCCACTTAACTTTGCTCGTCGATCACAACCCTTTATTCTAAGTGCCGCTTTTCTCTATGAGAAGATTGACCGCCTGCATAATTTTCGCTAACTCTCATTTCCCTCCAACAATTCGTTTATTCTGTTCTAGAACTCCAGGTTTTGGATTTTCCCAATCTTCTTGTGTTAGCAACAGCGATAAGAAAGACTCTCCTCCAACTAACAATGGGTTTTTTTCACTTTCACCATTGTTTCCGACTGCAAATGCACGCTTGGAAGAATGCAGGATTGAGCTTGTGGATAGTGAGGCCTGGAAGGTGTCATCGGGCTTAGTGGAGGCGTGGAGGGGCAATGTAGAGAAGCGGTCAAAGGTGAAGCCTTTACTTAGTGATGAGGAAGAGATGGTGAAATATGCACCTCCAAATAAGGAGGACCTTGATTTTGATGAAATTGAGGAAATGAGGATCCGCGGGAACTTGTTTTATAAGCTTGATAAAGATTCCAAAGAATATGAAGAGTATAAGTTTGATTACCATGGGAGGAATAGAAATAAAGGTAATAAGAAGGTGAACGCAATACAGATGGAAAAGGCAAGTAGTGCTTCACCCTCTGGGAGTGAGAAAAGCTTGAAGTGCATGGAGAAGTGGCAAGTAAGTAAGGAGAAGTTGGGCAATGAAACAAGCTTGGTAGTGGGGAGATCTCCGCGTTTTGATAAGACTAATGTCTCGGTTACTTGGCTTCCTGAATTTGAAGCTTCTGCAGTTGCAAAGACCAAAAGGTCTCAAACTTTCAATCAGGCTACAGCAGCTTACCATGAGCCTTTTTGTTTGGATATTTATATATCTAAGGGTTCTGCACGTGCCAGCATTATCCATCGGGCAACTAGCAAGGTTGTTGCTGTGGCACATTCTATTTCGAAGGACATGAAATTTGAGTTGAGTTCAACCAAGAATAGAGCTGCTTGTGCTGCTGTTGGGGAAGTGCTAGCCCAAAGAGCCTTGGCTGATGATATCCATAATGTTGTTTATACACCAAGGAAAGGGGAAAGATTGGAGGGGAAATTGCAGATTGTACTTCAGGCTATTATTGACGGTGGTATTGATGTTAAGGTGAAGTTAAAGCAGAGAAAAACCAAGAAAGCCAGCATCCTCCCACCAAAACCATAGGACTCGTTATTGAAATTGTCTATTTAACAGAAGGAACATGCTTGTGTTAAGTCATTGGTATAGCATCATTTTTCTTGAGTCTTTATCCCAGAAAAGCTTTTGTAGTAAATTAAAACTTTGAATCTTTGATACTGTAGCTAATGAGCACACAGCAGGAGTGTGATCTTTGTTATATACTTGAGACTTCAATGCTTCTGTTATGACAAAGATTAGATTCATGGAACTTGTTTGACTTAATGTAGTACACATAAGATGAGAGAGGGAGTAATGAAATCTGCACCCCTGAACAGTGAATTTGGAAATGAGTATTCCATAGTCTGGTATATGAATATCAGGTTCTTTCTTTACCCAAAGACTGAATTCTGTTTTCAGAATTTCTGATAGACATGTTTATGGTGTTCTGTTTAGAATGTGAGATTATAAATAGGGTTTTGTATTTCTGTTATTTTAAAGAATTTCTGAAAATTCACACCCATTGCAAATATTTGCAGCTAAACTCAACAGGGCGGTGAAATGATGGTGGTAGACTGTTATCCTTTTGTTGAAAACTAAATAGATAGGTTTATCTATAGGGTTGTGTCTGTTTATGAATAGGTGTAAGTTATGAGTAGTTATTTACAGTTATGTATTTGTGTATATATATACACTCTGTTTCTGTATTAGAAACAGAGAGAATACTAATATAATTTCAGTTTTATATTCATTTCCTAGTCTTGATTCTTCATATTGCTTCCGCCTAACTGGCGGGTGGTATTATTCTCCACCCGCCAGGCCATTCCATCTTCCAAATTCAACACCTTTGTGTGAGGTTATATTGAAATTGCAGCCCTGAATTCCTGTATTTTGGAGTATGCATCTGTTAATTGTATAACCAGTGGCACTACATTTCTGTTGGGCGGAGGCCGGTAAAGTGCCAAGTTCAGCAATTGGTGGCTGGGGGATTGTTGGGCGAGACGGTGAAGGTTACTTCAGCACCTTGCCTCTTGAAAATGTGGTGGCTGTATAAAGAAATAAAGTTGCCTCTTGAAAATGTGGTGGCTGTATAAAGAAATAAAGTTGCGCCTTCGCTGTGAGCTATAGCTTTTGGCATAGTGGTAAGCGTTTGATCCTCACAATATTTTTCATAACAGCATACACTCAAATTCTCATCAATAATAGCAGTAAGCAACACATGTTTTTGATTCAAAGCCTTAGTCAATACATATAAATGTGTTACATCATCTTATCAATCCACAAAAAATGGGAACAAACAGACACTCTTAGCGTTTAGTCATTGGCAGTTGCTAGCTGCAGTGACAGCAGCTCTTCTTCAGGTATGACCCTAATATGGCAATCTGATCTTGGATAAGCTGCACAGAGTAAAGCGTACCCGCTCTCCACAACATCATCACTAAGCATTCCATCGCTCTGATCCACTGTTCCGCTGAGAAGCCGAGCTGGGCAGGTCATGCACACCCCTAGTTTGCAGTCATGTGGCACAGACAAGCCAGAGTCCAATGCCTTGGAAAGAATGCTCTCATCAGGTTCAACCTCTAGCTCAGTTGTTTTACCCTCATGTTCAACTAACACTTTGTAAGCCCGGGGAATGCAGGATAGGCGACGGCCTGGGGTCGTATGGGGAAACCGGCTGCTCTGCTGGATTGCAGGGAGGCTGACCTGCTTTCTTGGAGTGGTGAGCGTGAAGGAAGGGGTTGTTGGAAAGTGAAGTGTTGCCATGGTTTTGGTTTTGTGTTCTGGTGCTGGAACTGAAGTGGAGCAGTTTTTGGTGTGGTGAGAAATGCTTGGTGTAGGATAGGATAAGGTTTTTTAGTGAGAAGTTATTGCACAGATTTTGGATAATTGACTTATCTGGGCCACACTTCTAGTCTATGAAGGATGTTTTAGTGTAGAAGCAAGAAATTTTCACGCATTTTCTTTTTTCTTTTTATAGTTAAGAGATTATATGCTCGTAAATAAATTAAAAGCACATCATATGTTAATTATAAATACATAATATGTTAATTGTATGACATAATATACCGTTAACATATTATGTGCATGTAATTAACATATTATATGTTTGTAATTAATAAATTATATGTCTTCAATTTATTTACAAGAATATAATTTATTAACTAAAGACACATAATATGTTAACTATAGATAAATTATTTGTAGAACAGGGTCTGATGGTTTGAGGTATAACAATTGTTTTGGTCCCCCATGTGATGCAGCAATTATATCGTGGACCATGGTTTACAAAGTTTTGTGGACCATAGTCCAAAAACGACGTCGTTTATTTAAGTAAAGAAACGACTGTTGTTACAGCTTAACAAAACCCATTATTTTGGTGTGAGAAGTACAAAATGAAACTACAGTGTATGTAAAATGAAACTGCCCCACATATTGTTTTTATATTATCAAATGAAACTGTAATTGAATTGAAATGAAACTGTAGTTGTGTTGAAGTAAAACTACAATGTATATAAAATGATACTGAATAACGGTTTCACATATTTGATGTATAATGTCGAATGAAACTGTAGTTATATCGAAATGAAACTGTAGTTGTGTTGAAATGAAACTGCAGTGTATATAAAATGAAGCTGAATATGTTATACAAACAGAGTTACTTTTTATGAAACGGCGCAAAACGAGTGCCGTTTCTTTTCATTAAAAGGTCAAGGGAAGATTGGATAGTATCCGGAGATCGAAATACACGGTTTTATCATACTTTGACACCCCGAAAATCCAAATTCAATTCATGGATTAATTGAGTAATTAATCCTATTTCAATTGAGGAATTAATTCCTAAAATCCTAAAATTTAATACTTGAGGACTAGTATTTGACTAGTCAACTCCAAAGTCAAGTTGTACCTTGAGCTTTGAAGGGAGTTCCCTTGTTCCTTACACTTTCTAATGTTAGTAAGGGCATTCTTGACCTTTCACCTAGTGTTAGTATTGTAACCTAACCTAGTAGACATCTTCATTCTACCCCTTACACTTTCTAAAATTTAGCTCTACCTTCTCTCAAGAAAGGTGAGTAGCTTTTCCTCCAAGCTAAGTTGAGACCTTGCCAAGACTTCAAGATTTGCTTCCAAGATTCAACCTTTCACCTATTTGGGCATCTAGGAGGGTAAGATCTAAGTCTATCTTGTGTTTTTGGTTCCATCTTAGGTGTCTTTTTCTTAAAGGTAGGATCTTTATGATCTTTTGGTTTGTTCTTGAAGTGGGTTTGGAAAGTGAGCCTTGTGAGGAGCTTGTTGAGGTGTAAAGTGAAGTCTTTTAGTCTACAAGAGGTAACCCATGCTCTACAAAACCTATTTTGCTTACCTATATGTGATTTCTTGGATTCTACATGTGTTTTGCTATGAAATGTGAGTGTTTACGCATTTGTCTTGTGAAAATGCATATCTAGAGCTTGTGTTTAGGGTTCTTTTGTGCCATTGCTTGGCATTTCCTATGATTCAAGTCATTTTGTTGTATTTGGTGAGATTTGGCATGTTTTGGACTTGAATTTGAGCTTGGAGTTGAAAATCCCCGAAGGGATTATTTTGGACACAGGGATGTACCCGCGGGCGGAACGATGGGCAGAGCCCTACCCGCCGCCCACCCGCAGGTACATTGGCCTCGTGGGTAGTGTACCCGCGGGCGGAACCACGGGTAGGGGCCTACCCGTGGGTCCTCCCGCGGGGAACACTTCGGTGTTATGATGAGATTTGTTCCTCGTGATTCTTTTGACTTGGTATTTGGTCTTTTGACTTCCCGATGTTCTTTTGTGGAACTATTTGAGTGTCTTCTTGATGTTTCGTATGTATAGAACTATATGGTAGGTATCCATGTAGGTCTTTGGTGTCTTGAATCGTGCTAAGTGTTCAACATTGTGTTTCGTTGGACCGTGATGTATCTTGTGTGTTCCTCGGAACTACCTTTGGTTTATCCGTTTGATGAGCATGCTAGTTCGGTGTCTAAATGCTAGTGTGTGGGTTATTTGTACCTTCCGTTTGGTTGATGATAACTTGTGTTATGCATCGTTGATTGTGTCGAGCTGTGACCAATTCCTTGAGTGAGTATGTTTCATATCTTCGTTGTGATCCGTTGATTGATTCTTGTTGAACTGTGATGCGTGTGTGGCTTTACCTGGATTGCACGATTAGTGGTATGGGACACTAGCTACCAAGGTATTGCAGTGGTCCTCGTGGTGGCCGTGACGTGATTATGGAGCTGTGGCCTTTGTGTAAGGTTCACGTGTTTATGGGAGATAACATGTGTTATCCAGAGCATGTGTTGCCATGTGTGATCGGTACCTCGTGTACTATGAAATCGGTGGTTTTGTTGGAGATCTGTTGGAGAGGGGACGACGGTCCTCGGGGGAATAAGGTTGGACTTGGTGTACAGGGGTCCTGGAGGTAAAGGTTGGAACTAGATATAAGGTTGGGGGTAGCCATAAGGTTGGAACAAGGGGTGTAAACGAGCCGAGCTGAGCTCGAGCTTGCCGAGCCTGGGTAGGCTTGAGCTTGAGCTCGTTAATGGAGGCTCAGCTCGAGTTCGAGCTCGAGCTTGAACGAGCTCGAGAACTGATGCTCGAGCTCGAGCTCGGTAATTTTTGGGCTGCTCGAGCTCGGCTCGAACAACTCGATTATTTGAGTTCGAACTCGAGCTCGAGTTCGAGTTCAATTTTTACATTGAATTTGACCTATTTAATACTTTTGATTTAAAATTCAAACTACTTTGTTTTATCCATACATAAATAATAGAAATCTTTTAGAAATGTTGAGTTCAAAATTTTAATTTCGAATTGTTATTTTTATATATTATTATATTATATTATATTATGTATTATATATATTATATAGTATATGGCTCGCGAGGGGCTCGACGAGCCACGAGCCTAGAATATCTAGGCTCGGCTCGAGCTCGATTACTAAATGAGCCGCTCGAGCGTGGCTCGAACTCGATTTTGACCGAGCTCGAGCCGAGCTTTGACCGAGCCGCTCGCAAGTGGTTCGCGAGCTGCTCGGCTCATTTACACCCCTAGTTGGAACAGGGCATAAGGAAGACATATCAACTCGTGATGTGTGATGTCACGAGGGCTTGTGTAGCCGTGGTTGTGTGTTCTCTTCTTGTGACATGTGTAGTCACAAAGGCATGTGTGCCTAGGCATGAGTTGCCATTTGTTGTGTCTTTATCCTTGAGTTGTTGTTGTCCTCAGGTGGTCTTGGGATGTGTTCCCGTGTTATCTTTGAGAGTGATGAGTCTGGAGTTGATGTTTACTCTTGGTTTTACACTGTTATATATGTATCCCGTTTCGAAATGATTTTTGTATATATATCCTATCTATGTATGATACTTAACATGTATTGGTGGTTTACCAGCATTATTCGCTGATTGGGCGTCGTCCCATGTTTATTTGTGTTCTTACAGGTGATGTCTAGACGAGAGCGGAGTCTAGTGCCTGATAGTATAGTACCTTTCCTTTGCTTTACGGCCTGTGAGCCGATGTAGTGATAGACTCATGAGGTTTTGGGATAGTTGTGAATCATGCAGATTTTTCCGTAGCATTTATCGTTGTTGGTAAACGTGGCGTGACACCCCATGTTTTGGATTTTCGTTTATCCAGTTACCTCCGCTGTGCTAGTGTTTTGTTGTGATATCTGCATGTGTTAAGGCTTTTTATATAGCATGTTTTGTGGGGGGGGGGGGGGGAGGGGGGGGTGTTACACATACGGCCACAGCTATTAAGGGCAAAGCTACCCGAATTAAATCCCTAAGAGATGAAGCTGGACAGATTTTCAATACTGGGGAGCAGATCAGGGTGCACATCTTCGAATTTTTTAAGCATCTATTTACAGATCAAGGCACTGTCCTGCCCAATGTAGTTCAGCATGACAACTTCCCGAGTCTGAGCGATGAGGACTGGAGGTTCATTAATGGACCTTTCTCAAAGGAGGAGATCAAAGCTGCAATGTTCGATATGGCTGCTGCGAAGGCCCCAGGACCTGATGGCTTCACAGCTGCCTTTTACCAACAATCGTGGAGCATAGTTGGCGAATGTCTTACTAATTTTGTCTTCAAGTTCCTTGCAGATGGTGTACTACCAAGCTTCTGTAATGATACATACATTACCATCATTCCAAAAGTGCCAAATCCTGATAGCGCCAAACAACTTAGACCAATTGGATTGTGCAATGTCTCCTACAAACTCATAACAAAGACATTAACGACTAGGTTGAAGGAAGCCTCCAAGAAGCTTATTGGACCCCATCAAACAAGCTTTGTGTCCTAAAGGCAGATAACCGGCAACATCATTGTTTACCAGGAGATTCAGCACTCTATGATAAACAAGAAAGGCCAACTAGGATGGATGATCCTCAAGGTTGATCTGGAGAAAGCATATGACAATTTGAACTGGGGATTTATTAATGATACTCTACAAGATATTGGATTAAATGATCAATGGAGAAGAAATATAATGGCCTGTGTGACGACTTCTAGATTGGCTATCAACTGGAATGGGGATATATCTGATTGGTTTCGGCCTAAGAAAGGAATGCGACAGGAAGACCCCATATCACCCCTTATTTTTGTTTTATTCTTAGAAAGATTTAGTCATCTAATCAACCTTTCTGTCAATACAGGATCCTGGAATGGTGTCAAAGTAACTAGAGATGGCCCCCACATCACCCACCTCTTCTTTGCGGATGATATGGTATTGTTCGGGGAAGCTACGATTGATCAAGCGAAGGTGATGAAGAAATGTTTAGAGGATTTCTGTGGCTGGTCAGGTCAGAGAATTAGTCATCACAAATCTTCAGCCTTCTTCTCTAAGAACATGTCCATCACGCTGCAGCAAGCCATTTCCGATACGATTGGATTTCAAAGAGTGGATGATCTGGGCAA